CTATCTGATGAGAAGATTCATATGTATGCTTTCATTTTGACCTATATATCAGTGCCAGTGGCTGAGAAGAAGGGTGAGTTGGGTAGGAGGAACTAAGAAAGAAAACTGAGAAATGTCAAATCTGTAGCACCAATCTTCAAAAGAACCGATTTTGACAAACATGGTGGGAAGCTAGGTTGATTCCTCTAATGGTTTAAAATCCTTGTGATGTATTCAGGAAGAATGGGAAAAGCTATGAAATGAGATAATAAAAATATTCAATTCCTATGATATTCAATTCCTATGAGAAAATAAAAATCTGATGAAGCCAGCACTGATACACACACAACTGTCTAAAATGACATGCAGGGCGAAGGAGAAATCAATAAATTAGACCAGCTTGACATCTATACTGGTAAGGTCTTGCAGCACGTTTATGAGTGCTTGGCTAGATAGGGTACAATTAACAGGAACCAGCATGGGTTTGTCACAAGTTGTACTAGAGCAGGGGTCACCAACCTTTTGGACCTCAGGGACCACCAAACTTAAATCCCGCGGACCAGAGACCCTGGGAAAATCCCAAAGTCTGCAGGAAAATTCCCTATCCTGTTTTCCTACCGATCGATCATTCTTTATTTGGGATTGCAGGATACAGTCTCCAGCTCTGTTCTCGGGGAAGAGTGAGACTTTTGGCTTCATGCAAGGAAAGCAGCAGAAGTCTTTCCCCCAAATTCCACCAGAAATGAATCTTTGTGAGACTTGTCACACTGGCGCAGCCTCTTGGAGCAAGATGTGTTGCAGGGTCTGAAAGACTCATTTCTAGCGGAGTTTGGGGGAGAGAAATACTTTTGCTGCTTTCCTTATGTGCAGCCAAAGCAGAAGAAGCGGAAAGAAACAGCCCGGTGGCCAGGAGAGGCACAAGGGATGAGTGGGGTAAGTTCCCCCCGCCCTTTTCCCCCTCCTCGCTACCTGGTGTTATTCACAATGCAAGTGATGCAATCCTTGTGTTCCCACTGGCCATGTGGGCAGTGCAGCCTTGTATTCTCCCGCAGCCTGGATTGCTTTGGGGGTGCCGTTTCTTGGCAGACCACCAAAATTTTCTCACGGACCACCAGTGGTCCCCGGTCCACTGGTTGGTGACCACTGTACTAGAGTATCTCTTGTGATTACTACTTTAGTGTATCAAAGACAGTGGTACATAGACCTTGGCAAAACCTTTTGAGAGAATGCCTCATGACGTTCCCCTTCATTAAAAAGGTAAGATATTATAAGCTAAATGCAGCTGTTAGATGAACTCACAGTAGGCTGAATGATTGCACTCAAAAGTGATTAATGACTATAGCAGTTTGGAGAAGCATTGAGTGGAATGCTATAAGGCTCCATCCTGGACCTCTGCTGTTTTTTTACATTTTCATCACTCACCAGGAGGAAGTTGAAAAACACTTACAAAATTTGGAAATGACACAAAATTGGAAGGAGTGGCTATATTTTAGATAGAAATTTCAAAAAGAGAGGTTTTTCCACAGCAGGCCTAAGGATGGAATTTAACATGCAAAACATAAATTTCTTTATATGAATAGGAAAAATGTAAGGCAGAAATATAAAATCATGAGACTTGATTAGGTGCGAATACATGTGAAAAAAACCTGAATGCCCATATATAAAAGCCATCAGCGTGATCTAGTTGTTAGAAAAGCAAATTGCTATCTTGGGGTACATTAATAAATGCCCTGAGTCCAGATTATAGACACTACTCTGGCCACGTCATGTCTCACTTGGAGTATTGTGCTCAGCTGCAGGCATCATAGTTCAAAAGGGACAATGACAATTTGGATTAGATGGCCTCTACCTAAGAGTTGGATTCTATGGCCTCATTTGGCACTGCACCTGAGAAAAATCTAGCTATCAGGGACCACCAACAGTAGACCAAGAGATTCACTCCAGGTTTCAGGACAAATAATGTCATTATTGGTTGAACTGCAAATAGAACACTTCTGAACACTACAATAAAAGGGACAAAAAAGGAGCTGGAACATATTCATAGGAATGCTTTGAGAATAAGGTTGAGCCAATCCCTATGAAGAACAGTTAAGGTGTGTTATATTGAAAAAGGGAAGATTGGGGGGAAGATTTCATAAAGGTCTACAAATATTTATGAGTGTCACACTAAAAGCAGGCAAAAGATCAACAATTTTAAAGTAGAATGTTGGTAGGGAATATTTTTCTGGCAGTAACAGTTGCTAAGCAATGGAACAGTCTGCCTAAAACCAGTGAGGATTCTCCCTTGCTGGAGGAGGAGTTCAAATGGACTAGATGTCTATTCAGCGGGGATGTGCACAAACTGAGCAGAGCAGGCATTGGATGAATTATACATTGCTTTCAACTTGTATTTTCTACTTTAATTCCCCATTTTTCTAAACACTGATTTTGGGCCAGGCATATACTATTCTACTCTGTCTAGAACACTCTTATCTTTTCTGAAGTCTTGTTTTTATGTTAGTCAAGAAATTATTATAAATAGTTATGATATACAAACTAGGCTATAACGTGCAGTGTTGTTTTTCAAAAAATGATAAAGTTAAAAAACTACTTCAAATGCAAGAAATGAATCAGAGTCAAATCTGTGACAGTTTATTTTGCATGTCTTCTGAGTTGCAAGAGTAGGTTCACATCTTCATAATATCAGACTGATATCCTTGTCAACATACTTAATCTCTCATTCTTGCACACCATGTCCAGGAATTTTCAATTAGGATTCAGTTTTGTCACGTTTGAAGAGATTACTTGCTTGTAGGTCACCACATTGCCCTCTGTATCCCAGAGAGCTGGGCATGGTCAGCCAGATGACGGAAGACAATTCGGCTGAGCCTCCATCTCTTTTTTACACCTCTAGGTCGGGATGTCAGAACACATCGATTGTGGATCCGCACAGGGCAACTATCTCGGGGCAGATCAGCTATCTCCTTATCGGTAATTTCCTGGAACAAGTTTTTTAAAAATATAAAATTCCCCTTCTATACTTAAGATAGAAAGATGTATACAATTATGTCACATGAAGTGTGAGTGAAGAATCTCAAAGATTGTTTTCAACTGGAACTGCCAATCCTAAACTGACATGGTAGGGAATCTGGGATCACAGGATTTTTATCTCTTCTCTTCCCTGAATAAATGCACTAAATTCTTCATATGAGGTCCTGTAATCCTTCTACTAGTTAACCACTCCAATAAGAATTAGATTGGAAGTGGAACTATTGTTTCTCAACTAAGATATCCACGATATCTCTGAATAATTAGATTTTTTTTGCATGGATTTTTCTAATTACACGGACTCAACAAAAATACATTTTGCATTTTTCATAGCCTACACATATCAACTTTAAAGTATCTTAAATAGAAAAAAAACACATTAAAAAGGATGTTCTCATTTCACCCAACCGTCCCCTTCTCTTTTTGCCTTCAATCTTTCCCAACATTCCCAACCTTCCTCATTAGGTGGCCACAGTTTTTGAGTTTCAGCTTCAGTATCGACCTTCAAAAGAACAGCCAGGGTTGATTTCTTTTAGGATTGACTAATCTGATCTCCTTGCAGTCCAAGGGACTCTCAAGAATCTTCTCCAGCACCACAACTCAAAAGCATAAATTCTTCAGCACTCAGACTATTAAAAAGATACTAGCAATTAAAATTAAAGCAGAAAAATAAGTTTTTAAAATTTAAAAAGAATTAAAATTTAACTGTCTGAGCACAAACTATTTTATATCATTTGAAATTCTTTAACACATTGGCACAATATCACGTTCCCAATAAATACAATTAGTGTAAAAGAATTATATATTATAAATTATTATTATAGAACATATATTTAGTGTAAGATGCACAGATGACTATCCGTCATGTTGGATCCAGCAAGAGAAGCATTTTCTGAAACCTATCTGCAAGAGACTACCGTCTGGTAGGGCCCAGGAAGAGATGCTGCTGTGGTGCCTGGCTCCTAGAACAACATCCCACTGGAGAACTTGCCTCAGTCCTGCTGGCCTTTCACAAGATATTACAAGCTTAGGTTTGCCATCAAGCCTGGGGCTCTGATATCGCTTGTTTCTTGATCATGGTTATATTAAACACTTGATGGTGTTAATGCTATTGTTAATTTTGGTCTTATTAATTGTCCAAAGTCAAGCATATAGGATACATTTTTAAACAAGTTTTCTTGTTCCATTTCATAATACCTTGACAAAAATAATATTCTTACCTGGAGTTCTTTAGGCAAAATTTTATTTTTCCTAAGGCAATTCAGCCGCAGTCTCTGATCTGCATAATCAAAAGCCATTTTCCTTCTCTTAACATCACGTACCATCCTCCAGTCCACATAATAACCTCTTGTTTGACCAGCACATGGCATGGGGAAGAACTAATAAAAAGAAATTACAATCAGCTTTTCTTCAGGTAAATGGGTATGCCTGTTTAAATTTCAACTGATGCCAAGTATTAATGTTTAAAATATTTTTAAAAAGCAAAGTAATAATCCTGGTCACTCTATTTTTCAAAACACAAGAAGGCAAGATAAGAAACAATGGATGGAAACTAACTAACTAGAGAGAAGCAATCTAGAACTAAGGAGAAATTTCCTAACAGTGAGAACAATTAACCAGGTTGCTTTCAGAAGTTCCAGCAGAGTGCCATAATATGAGCAAGATAGAAGAACTTTAAAAAAAACGAAAAGGGGCAGGCAACACGAATCCGCCGCAGGACACTCGGGAGGTCGGCAGGGCAAGGCTCTTCTTGCGTAGTCTTCCATTCCCACCCCCTCCCCCAAATTCCTGGCTTATCTCGGAGCGACTGTTGGCTGGCGGGGGGGAAGCACTGGGCAGAAACCGAAGTTGAGCACAGCAGGTTAAGGGAGGAATCGAGAGAGAAAAGGACCGGACGCGACTCTAACCTGCCGAAACGCCGAACGCAGCATCAAAACCACTCCCGCCATCTTTCCCTATAGGGACGCTATTTGAACTACGCATGCGTTACTCGCAACACGGCAGCACGACCCTGGGAGTTAACTCCGCCAGGGCGTGAAAATGCGGAAAATGCGTGAAGGGGAGGAAGAGGGGTGAGCGGAAGCTGGGAGCGTAGGTTTGTGGGAATGGGCGGCAAAATTTAACAAACTATGAGTGTTATGAATTGAGCTTTTTTAAAGGTGACTGTAGGAGCGTTTACTATTTCTATAGAATTTCTCCGTGTGTGCAAAGTAATATATGCATGTGTATGAGTGTATATATGTAATCTACCTACACACACCTTGCACAAATAGAGATAGGATTAAATTACATTCTTAAGGCTAGATTGGGCCCGTTTTGCGTTCCCAAATAATTGCGTGTAAGATTGCTGCGGGGTAGTTCAGATGTTTCGGGACTTATTTCGTTGCAACAGGCTGAAAGGCTTGTTTCTTTGGAAGCTTTTATTGAGAGACCAATCCATAACAAATCTCAGTGCGGCTGAATTCACAAAATTCAACCGCACTGGTGAACTAAATGTGGGTGTCTACTTTTCAAGAATCATCCAGGGTGTTTTTTGCATTAACCCAAGAAGCTAGATTTATTAAGCAATTCTAGAGTCATATAATTGTTAAAGCAATGTACTAATAAAATGCATAAATGGAATTTAACTAGAGAAATATAATTACATTAACACAATAATTATATTAAACTAACTATAAACTTTAAAATGATAAGTCTAGTAAGATTTTTTATAGCTGGGAAGATCAGATGAGCCAGCAGTAAGACAAATTGCAATATAACTAATTAAAAATTAGTGGTGATTTGAGTTCTTCAGGATACTGTTTCCCGTAGCTAAAACTAAGGCCGAGACTTTACAATTCTTAACATGGCTACCTATTATGTGTAAGAAACTATGTCACATTTAACTGCTTTTTTGTTTTTGTTGGCTGAAGATTATTTTTCTCTATTCTCTTTTCCATTTCCTTCCCACCCCTTGTTGTCACTTGTTAAGTGCATTTCTTGGATTAAATTTCAGGCATCTGATCAAATGGATTATGTTCACAAAAATGGATATGATAACAATTGAATAGCTTTTACATGTCAGTAAAACTCTTTGTTGTATTGCCTGCAGTTCCTCTGGAAAGAAGATGAAGTGATATCTTTAGGATCATCCCAGGAGGCTGAGAAAGCCTTGGTTTCTGCAGTGGCCATCAGAGATCATGAGCTACTTCAGATTGCAACAGCAGCATCCCATCGTTTTGAAAAGAAGAAAAAAAATCTAGAACTATAACTGCAATCATTTGAATGAAACCGATGCCTTTGAGTGTTCAGAGAAGTGATTAACCAGCTCCTTGTTATTCTGCTGTCAAGGTCTGTTCAGCCACCTACATTTAAATATATATGAAACGTTACTTCCTTCCCTTTTCAGCTAATTATATTTTGCAATAGTAGAACAAGTTTTTCCAAAGCAGAACATTTGCTTCTTTCCAATAAGTCTTGTGGCTCTAATATCAAAATGTACTTTAGGGGGTGCTAGTGACTGAAAAAAGTGCTGTTATATCAGCCTTGTCCTAACTAACAATCTCGGTTTTCTGACTTTTAGACTTCACACAGCTGAAGTAGTGCTTATTCACATGTAAGAGGGAATTTTTAGAAGGTGCAATCATTTCAATTCCATCACTGCCAAAAATAGAATCATTAAATCACAAAATCATAAGTTAGGTCATCAGGCCCAACCAATTCGGTTCAGGAATTTAGGTTAAGGAATCTGCAACAGATAGATGTTCAGCTTCTACTTTATCATTTGAAAACAATGGTTGTATTGATGCATCTTAAAATTGTGTTTGTCTTTTTTGCAGGTATGTCATGTGGCTGAGATTCAATTAGTGATCCAATTATATTCCAGGATGTTTTCACACATAACATTACTAAGCTTCAATATCTGGGTGCTTGATTTCCCCCCACCCTAAAATGTACAAGTTTTTATTTTCATGAAATATCCATTTCCCTCATCTCCTAAAACCATTCTGCATATCGTTTTGTTGTCTGTGTTGTTACTGTTTCCTCAAATTCCATCTATACTGGCAAACTTGGTAAGCATTTCTTCCATCTACTACTTAGATCATTAATAAAAATGCAAAGAATACTATTCCCAGGAGAGAATCCTGTGGCATCTTCCTTCTATCCAAATGAGGGACAACAGCTGAGCTAAGGGACATACACCATCCTAAAGTGGCTAATAGATAACATTAAGTCACTGATTGCAGCTCTGGCATAATAGTTGGTAAAGTGTGTGACAGATTACTCCATAGAAAAAATCCATGGCAAAATAGTTGATAAAGGGGAAGGCACACAAGACAATGACTTGAAGACAAAGTAGGTAAGACTCTGGACTCCACCCAAAGACATTGGATACGAGATGGAGAGCAAATTAATTTTATAAATAAAAGAAGTTGCTGGAATATGTGTGTTCCATAGTTAGATAAAGGGGAAGAAATGCACTGGAACTCCCAGGAAATAGCAGTGTAATTTGTGCCTACTACTTTATATCTCTTTGAATGATTGGCAAATTAGTTTGGGTAGTATGATACCAGCAATAGGATTGTTATGGATTTCTTTCCATACTTTAACCTAGATCAGGGGTGTTAAACTTATCACGGTGTCACATGACATATTGCGACTTTTCCTCCTTCACTAACCTGGGTAGGGGATGTGGCCAGCATGTGATGCATCTGGCCTGCAGGCCAGGAGTTTGACAGCCCTGACCTAGATGCCTTCAACATTTGTAAAATAATTCCTTTGCGTTTCTAAGCAAGTGTAGATGTTCTTAACATTTTGCAAGTTTCTTTTGCATTGCTATGTTCTTTTGAACCAATTGCATACTTCAATTGCTGCAATGCCATCATGCCTCACTTATACTTCCAAAATCATTTTAGTATAAGACATTACAATATTTTTATTTATTTTCAATACTTTGAATATGCATAGACAACAGAACTCCTAGACTCTGAGCCAAGGTTTCTCCTGATTTTCATCATGGTTTCATGGGTTCTTCTACAAAAGTTTATTTCCATCTGTAATGCAGAATTCCTTCTATGAAATCTTCATTTCAGTATTAAATAGTTAGCCATGACCTATCATCTCCTCTGAGCTTCTCCTAAAATTGTTTCCTAAGATCTTTATTAATTGCCATGTTAACTGGGACAGGTTGAAGAAGATTTTCAACACAGGTTTTGAAAAATTGTTTTAAGTCTTGTTACACATCCTCTTCCTAATTGTAAAATATCCTCCCTTCACCCAATACTAGCGTAAGGATCAAAACTTTAGTTTTGTTTAAAATTTGAGTTAATAGACTTTGAGGCACAGGGATTATAAAAAAAAACCCATCTCTAGATGTTTCCAGATGGGAGCCTTCTAACGCTATCAGTTCTGAGCACTCTGAGTACTTATTTATGGAGAACCATAAAGACCTGGCTCTAAACACAGATAGGATAAGAGTTTAGTCAGAAGGTTAATACTATAGTTGCTTTGGTATCTGGTAAGGGTTGATATCCATCCATTTATTTAAATTTATTTGCAGCCCATTTGTTTCAAAATGACTGGGTGGCTTATAATATTAAAATCCTCAAAATTACAAGAGATTTTAAAACAAGAATGAAAATTACAATCAAAATGGAATTACAGTTAAAGATGGGGCGGGAGGGAGTAGGATGTACAGGAAGGAAGGGGTGGGATTGCTTCTTAATTCATCAACCAAGTCCAATGTTGTGCTCCCCACAGGGGACCCAAGCCATCTTGCAGAGCCAGGACTTCAGGCCCTTATGGAAGGTCAGAAGGGTGGGAACTGATCATACCGCGGGGTAAAATGTTTCGAGAAGGAGCCACAGCAGATAAGGCCCTTCTGGCACCGCCAACCAGAATTATTTCTCTGATTCTGTACTTATTGTATTATAATTCTATTTTTATTAGTTGTCAGCTGCCTAGGATAACTTTGTGGGATAAATCGCCACATCCTTTAAATAAAGCAAATTTTAATTTGAATAGCTAAATCAGTGAGAAAGAAGAAGGTTACAAACTGGGATCTAACATCAGTTCTTCTAAATTAATCTCCAAACTTGAATAAATCTGATTTAACTTGGAAAATATGTGAAATCTGTATCTCTCTTACTAGACACATTAAATTCCAGAATAAATTATTACATATTTATCCTTTACATACATAAATCTAGGAAATTCTTTGAAGCATCTTCGTGGAATATGAGAAGAAAATACTTATTATGATAGGTTACGATGTACAGGGATTTCATCCCAGTGATGATGTCAGTGCAAATAAATGCCTTTATACTGAATTTAGTTGCTAGTAGAAATTACAAAAGCCTCAAGTATGGATTTCTAAACACCGCAGAGGTCTGGTGGTTGGGATGGGAGTTTTCATAAAAATCGTGTGGGATGGACTTCCAAGTGGAAAATATGATGCTATGGAATGTTCACAAAAAGCACAAATGTGGTCATTTCCCTCCTCGACATCAGTGTCGTCTCCTATAATTACAGCACATTTGCTTTCTCCATTAGCCTCCCTCTTTTTTCTCAATCCCTATCTCTATGCCCATGACTCAGTTTACAAATACAGCATTTCATAGTTCTCAGTCCTTCATGATCATGCGGTACTTAGTCTTAAAAATATCCATGATTTTTCTACAAAATGATAAATGGGTAATGATTTATTTACACAGCAGTACCAATCATTAAAAGGTACAGCAAATACATCAAATTAAGAGAAAAAACTTAAACTTATGAAGATGGCACCAAGCAGTCCCTAAAAGCTATGTTTACAATTTAAAAGAAAAAAATTAAGGAAAGCTGCTATCTCATTGACTTGGTGAGCCACCACAAGTTCAATACATAAACAACATGGGAAGAATATGGCAAGAGTTATAACTCTGACCTTATACCATATTAGTTGTTCAAACTTTTGTCCTGAGTGAAGAGGAATTGTCTAGAGCCACATATAAAATACATAATATAGTTAAATGTGTATAACAAAGATCCTTGTGGACTGCGGTTGGACATACTTGTATAATAAAAGGGAATTTTGCTGAATTCCAAAGGTATAATCTACATTTAAAAAACAAAGAGTGCAAAAGAAGACCTTGTTCCACTTAGAAATCAATCCACACCACAATCATTTTGGAATATTAAATGATGGGTTGCAGGACTTCCTCATTAAAGCCAAGAATAGCAATAACACTTAGACTTATATACCGCTTCACAGTGCTTTACAGCCCTCTAAGCGGTTTAGAGAGTCAGCATATTGCCCCCAACAATCTGGGTCCTCATTTTACCCACCTTGAAAGGATGGAAGGCTGAGTCAACCTTGAGCCTGGTGGGATTTGAACTGCCAAATTGTAGGCAGCTGACTGCAGAAATAGCTTGCAATAACCACAGAATAGTGCAGGTATGTCAAACTCGCTTTCATCAGGGTTGTGTTTCACCTTGGAGGGCTGCTGGGGATGCGTGGTCATGAGGTGTGTGACAGAACTCATGTCGGGGGCACCTGTGGTCAAGTGCTAAGGCAGGACTTCCCTGAGACCCTCCCTCACATAATCCCTTTTCTTTTTCCTTCCCTTTTCATTCTTCCTTCCCCTCTTCCCTTATTTTTCCTTGCCCTCTTCTCATCTTCTTTGTCTTTCAGTTTCTCTTTTTCTGTCCATTCTCCATGCTCAAAGGCAAAAGGAGAAACATTTTTTTAGTTTGTTTTGATAGCCCTTTGTCAGCGAAAATGGAGCTTGGGTGCCCCCCTCCCCATTTTCAGCCTGGACAGCCTCCTGCAGCCCTCTGCCAGTGAAAATGGAGCCGGGGCAGGGGCGTGCATGCCCTCCTGTGCTCATTTTTCACATGGACAGCCTCCTGCAGCCCTCTGCTTTGTGCCCCCCCCATCCCGAGCATTGTTTTCGCTGGCAGAGGGCTGCAGGAGGCCATTCAGGCTGAAAACGGTGGGGGCCGGGCCTCCATTTTCACCAGCAGAGGCTCCGTAAGCCGGTCCTTTGCTGTTTCTGGCCCAGCCCCGCAGGCCAGATCATCGATCCTGTGGACCGGATCTGGCCTGTGGGCCTTGAATTTGTCATCCCTGCACTAGTGAGAGAATACAGAAAAATCACGAACAACTCACTCCTACCAGTGCACATAAACATTTACCAGCCAGAAGACTCAGATCCAGGAATGGTCCACTGGTACTTGCATCACATCTGTCCAACAATTTTAACATTGATTCCCGATGGGAAGCCTAATTGGTCACTTTGAGCCCACAAAAAAAGTGTCAGGCTTTGAATTACTATGCCAGCAATGGACAATCCTGAATAAGATTTGCACCTCACATGGCATCTGCCGGGACTCTGTATAAATGGGGCATAGTATCTTCCCGTCAGTGTGAGTGCAGGTTCCACATCAAACTGTAGATTCCCACTGGCTCGCCTTGTCCTCTTTCCTTTCTGGTCTTCTCCCCTAATTCCTTCTCCCCAGGAAATTTCTAAGCACGAACAATCTAGTTCTGCCCCAACTTGGGGAGTGATGCACTCTAAGATGTGGGAGAAGAACAGGACTACCACCAAGTTGTTGAACACCTCACTTTTTCCCTCCTCATGTCATGTGCACTGATTGCGAGGCTGGTGAATTGTAGTAAAATACTGTATTAATTTCTGCAGTAAAAATATAAGCAAAAGAGTTTTTGCAGCTTGCAAATCAGTGAATACTGAAATTGTTGGCTAGTTGTCCATATTTTTGTCTCACAAAACTGAAGCTTGGACTTCCAAAAGCCCTGCCAGTCATTTATCAAGTAGAAAGTTATGGAGGAGTAAGTTATATAAAGCAAGTAATCAGTCAGTGTACATAGCCAGAGATCTTACTTGGAGTTATCTACTCCCAGGAACTGATCCTCCTGCAATGTTGCCCTTTAGGTGACCATATACAACTTTAGGAGTCTTATTGTCTCTTTTCCTTTTCATAAGGACTCAGAGAGGTATGTAAAGTATATTATATTCATGCCTTCATTTTATGAAGTATTACACGACTTCCATCCTGGCCTTGAAGAGGAACAAAACTCTATACGCTGTATATTCTGAGGAGTCCTTGGTGCTGTCTGAATTTGGTTGTTTTCTTGCAGATGCCCAAGCTATCATCACTGATGATAGCTTGATTGCCCAAGCTATCATCATCACTATTAATTAGGAATGGGGTTTGCTTTCAGTTTATAGTATTCTAGTGGCTTGCTCTGCCAGTGTTGGTGGGGATGATCTTAGAGGTTCTTTGCTTGGGCTGTTTACTGTTGGATTTATTTGGCAGCTTCTTGATTTGGGTATTGTTTACTGGATTGTTGGTCTGATGTTAATTTTGAAGTTGCTCATCTTGGTGCTGATTGCTGGTGGAGAGGTGCTTGGGTCTTTTTACTCCCTTTTTGGCTTGATAATTGTGGTGAGTGTGGAAGGGGAAAAAGTGTTGTGGGAGGGAAAGCTTGGCCAAGTAGAGGATGAAACCAGTCATCAGAATAGGAATTCACTTCTGAAAAAGTAGCTGGCTTGAATGGG